CAATCTTACTTTTTTTTTTCTTTTTAATAAGCAATTTGTCTTACTGTTGCTGTGATGAAACACCATGACCAAGCAACTTGGGGAGGGAGGCTTCCTTTGGCTTACGGTTCCATATCCTTGTTTTTTCAGTGAAGGAAGTCAGAACAGGGAAACAAATAGGGCAGGAGCCTGGAGGCAGCAGTGATGCAGAATCCAAGGAGGAATCCATTGAATACAGAGCTCACTGACTGGCTAGACTTGGGGTTCATCGAGCCCCCATCTTTCAAATGCCCAGTGCTGAGGAAGCCTCAAGTTTATTCTCCTAAACCTGCCTTCGTTAGGGGGGTGTTGAGGTGGATCCCTACACTTGTGCACCAGGTATGTTACTGACTGAACCATATTCTTAGAACCTTAAAGGGACTTCCGTGTGTATCACATAGAGGTTTTCCAAAGAGATTTCAGTGAGAGGAACCTACCCCATGAATATGAGTGGTAACATGCCATTGGTTGGCTTTTGGACTGAATAAAAGGGGGTGGGATGAACTGAGTATCAACCCTCATCCTTGTCTGTTTCCTGTGCTTCCAGTGTGAATAGCCACCTCATACTTCTAACACTGTGACTTTCCCACCAGCATGCTCTGTATCCATTTATGGAGTAAACCAAAATGATTGTGAGGGGTACCACTCTAAGCACTGGTATCTAAACCAAGTGAAGTGTGCCAGCAAACTGAGCCCGAACAATCATCTCTCTGCTTCCTGATTACAGACACAATGTAGCCATCTGCCTGGAGTTGCAGTGCTTTTCCTGCCGGGGTGAACTTTATTGTTGCTTTGTGAAATCAGATACACAGAAACATCAGGTGTTTCATCACAGTAATGAGGAAAGGAACAAATATAACTATATTGATTGAATACTGATGGTGAGTTAGTGGATGAAAAAAATAAACACTATTTTAGTTCTTGTAGCATCACCACTTTGAACAACAGAAAGGCAACCCCCAGGTTGTACGAGTAAAGTAGAGGACATCAACAAGGGTTCCATAGTGGTCGAGTGTGTATGCATGTGTGTGTAGGGGGTACTGTTCTCTACAAAGAATTACATTCATGCAGACAATTGTTTGCATTTCTATTTGAAGATCCCCACCTCTTCAGTTAGTATTTTGGGGTCTTCCTCACCCTTTTATTGTTATGCTGGAGCATGCTGGGAGGCAAGCAAGGACACATGCTTAGGTCCCTAAAACTTTGATTCTTCACCATTTCCTGTAGCAGTCAGTATTTTAATTCTAATCCTTAGAACCTAGGCATGGTGGCATACTAAACTCAGACATATACCAGTTTATTAGGTGTTCCTTTCAAAACAACCATACCATATAAGTAGACCACATGTATTCCTAGAGCTTTGCTCCATAACTTTCTTTTTCTTTCTTTCTTTATTTCTTTTTTTTTTTCTTTTTATTTTTTCTTTTAAAGAAAGAGCCATTGGGCTCCTACTAGGAAGATAGCATTACTAGGCAGGTGGTCATTGAAGAGTCTTAAGAATGAGAAGCCAGCTTGTGAAGCCAGAGGATTGTTGGTGAAGGCTGAGAGCATGGTTGTATGAGTGCAGAGGGAATAGAATGGGGTCCTTAAGGAAAGAGAAACCCCTGTATCCTGAGAGCATCTGTGGTTCCAGAGTCAAGTCCCTGATGGTGGAGGCATCAGAAGTGTGTACTCTGCTTCAGCACCCAGGGCGTAGCTGACACAAAGTTGGTCAGCCTTGGGCACTGCCCATAAGTGCACTAGGTTCTGAAAACGAGGGCAGGCCACCATGAGAACATGACTTACATCAAAGGCATGGGCACTGGTTCTTCGGCTGTCTGTGGCTCTCTTCTTCTGTCTGTCCCTTTCCTGGGATTTCCTGTAATGGACCTTTGTGTGTGTCACACGGTGCACCCTACTCTCTGATACATGGACCACCTGACTAGGAGCACCCCTGTGGCTACTTCCCTGACTGGGCAAACAAACTGGACAAATGGGCACGAAGAGCGTGCGTGGAGTGGGACATAAGCACGCAGCGAACACTTTTTTCCTGTATTTAATTTTGTAGTTTAAATTGCAGTAAAAATCTTCTGCAAAACTATTTCAAATGTCGCCACAGTTTCTTTTGAACACTTTTGTCAGTTTTGTAAACATGGCACATTTTGGATCTGTCTAATAACGTTGCCCCCTCTTAAGAATTTCTGTGCATCATCATCTCAAGCAACCAGCCTTTTGTCAAGAAAGCCCACCTCTACTCTAAAGATGACCCTTTTTCCAGTAAGCTGATTTCACAGGTATTCTTGGTCCCACTCACCACTGTTTCAACATCTTTTTCTTCTTTACATCTGGAGGGCTTCTTCCTGGCTTCCACTGTGTCTATTCTGTTTCCTCACTCCCATTCCCACCCTGCCCGCCCCCCGCCCCGTTGGCGCGAGAATCTCACGTGGGTCACAGAACTTCCAATAGGACATTTCATTGCACAGGGTCCATCTGCAAGTAGGTGTGCACCAAAGACTCACGGCTCCGCGGCATCCGTGGGCACAGCTTTCTCCTTTTCCAGGCTCATAGCTCCTCTCACAGGCTTGCCTGACTTCAAGAGAAATTGGTTTCCTTTAGGAAGAACAGTGTTCTCTCCCCCCATTCAGATCTCTTTCTCCCTCTCCCCTTCTCTTGCCTGCTTTTCCTCTCCCCCTCCTCTTCCCTCCTCCCCTCCTCTCTCCTCTCCTCCCCTTCCCTCTCTTCCCATCCTCTCCTCTCTTCTCTGTCTTTCACCCTCCCTCCTTCCCTCCTTCCTTCTTGCTTTTCTCTCTATCTTCTTGCTTGTTTGCTCTAATTCCCTCTCTAGTTCTGCCTTCTCGGCTACATCTGCTCGCCTAGTCGTTCACTCACTTTAAACCACCGTTCAAGACTTGCAGTCCGGAATAGGCAGGATCAGAAGCTTGCATTTCAGTGTGGAATCCCTGTAGACTAGAGCCACTCATTACCCTCGCCCCGCGCGCCTCACCCCGCCTTCTCCAGCGCCACAGTGAGAACCTGTGGACTTGATCACTGAATACACGCCCACTCGACAGACACCCACACATCCCTGTGGGCGGCTCCATCCTCAGCAGCAGGTGCGTGGCTGTAGCGGGGGTTCTGGAGAGCGCTCCTGTCGGTCTCTTTCCAAGGCTGGGTTGGTTCTTGGCCTTCGCTGAGAGGACCCCTGTCTTTGCAGCCTCGTGCATACATTTGCTGTCTGCCTCCTCGACTCTTCCTGCTCCCCCCTTTCCTCACTACTTATGATCCCCAGCTGGGGCGCAGTCAGCAAGGTAGAGCTGCAGGCGGCGTCAGAGGGTCGCTCACCCCCTGGGGCTGCACCACGAAGGTCCAGCTAGCGCCGCTGTGCCTAGAACAGGTGGGGTCAGCAGAGGCATGGGAGGGAGTGCGGGATCCCGGAGCTTCTAGGCAGAGGTGGAAGGAGGTGCTGGCTGTGCTGGCAGGGCAAGGGAGGAAGAGCTGCCCAATGCGGCAAGCTCAGCGCCCCCCGCCCCCCCCCAACCCACTTCATGGCACTGCCTTGTTTTTTACTGTGATTTCACATTCATCTATTCGCAGTTTTCCAAACTGGGGTTCTTCCTGCTGTTTTTCCAGCAACTCCTTTCTTCTCTGAGTTTGATGAGCAGCGCGCGCGTTTGTGTGTATTGGGGTGGGGTGATCCGTGTTTGCTTTTGGACAGTATTGGGTATTTTTTTTTTTTCGGCCGAGAAAGATATATTGCAAGCGGCTGCGTCCTTGAAGGAGCAGTTTGGTGGGATTCCCGTGAGGATCTCCTGCAGTGATTAATCGTGAAACTTTTTACTGTTTTCCTTCTTCCAGTGACACGGCCTCCGATCTTAGACCAGCGGCTAAAAGACGCAGTCTTCACCTTCTACAAGAGGGGACCAGAGAGCTCCAGTTGGAGGGACGGGAGACAGTCATTTTAAATCTTTAAAAAGTGAAAAACCAAACTCGAAGGGGCATATTCGCACGATGGCCCCTCCCCCTTCCACGCCTTTCGCCCTCCTCTGAGATGCAGTGGGGAATTTGCAAGGGCTCTTCTGGACCCTTCTGCCAGAGCTGGCTGAGGGCAGGAGCTCAGACTGGTCCTCACCCCCCTTCCCCTTCCCCCACGAACCAAGCGGCTGTGATGTCCTTGCTGTCGCCGCCGCCCCACTGCGCCGAGCTCCAGCCCTGGGGGCACGGGCGGTGCTCAGCTGCCCAGTCTCGCGCTGGCTTTGGGCTTCCTGGAGGGTCATGCAACGCAGAGCTGTGACTAAGGCGCTCACTTGGTTACTCTGCCATATTCCCGATCTTCCTCTCTCTCCCTTCCCTTCCCCCTTTACCCACCCCCGTGTTCCCCTCCACCACCCTTGAGCCCTCCCCCGCCCCCCAGACGCCCACCCTTAGGTTCCTTTCCCTGCAAGATCGCAGAGGTGGCGCGCAGCCCGCCGAGCCCATGACGGACCCCTGCCTCCTGCCTTCAATGCCTCAGCAGAAGAACCCCAAAGGCTGGAGAGAGGAGGGCTGCGGCTGGACATCCTCCCGGCGACGCTGCTCCGACCTGGTGCTCCTGGTGGATGAGACTGGAGACTGAGCAAGCCCCTGCCGCCGCCTTCACTGACGCCCTCGCAGTTGTTGCCGTCGGTCGGGACCGGTCCCCGCCTTGCGCCTTCTGCCGCCCGGTCCAGATCGGGTCCAGGCTTTGGGCGCCCCGGGGCTCGCCCCGCGCCTGCCGCCGCCCGCGCGACGACTGCCCGCCGCGTCCTCCTGACAGCTGCGGCGGCGGCGATGATGCAGAGGAGGAGGGTGCTGCCGGCGGCAGTGCTCATGGTGGCGGTCGGCGCCCGGTTGTAATGAGAGCGTCATGGTGGAGATGCTGGCTTCGCGGCGGTGAGAGAGCCAAGGAGGGTGAGAGCCAGCCAAGGGCGGAAGATAGAACAGTTCTGATCGCTATCGCTGTCTTCCCTCTCTCGCTTCCCCCCCACTGTATTTTACCCGTGGTTTGCATATTTAAAATCTCTGGACTCCATCCTCTCCCTACCAACGAAGTCTCTCCGTTTCTAAATGGAATTAGTGGAGATCGGAGCCTCTGGTGTAACGCACAGACATGATCTATGGACGCAGTTTGTTTCACAGTGAGTACCTCTCCGGCAGTGCCGATCCGTTCCGGGGGTGCTGCCACCTCGCCTCTTGGCCCCATGCACTGGGAAAAGCCCTGTCAACCACTCCAACCAGACCCCGCAGTCCCTTGGAGTCTGGGGCAGATGTAAACTTTCGGTACTGCAGCATCATACAGCCTGGCGGGGGCGGCGCACAGAGTGGAGCTGGACCTCAGAGTTGGTCAGGGAAAACCATTTCTCGGTAGGCAGGCTCTCTGGGTGGTCCAGAGGAGCATGCAGTTAAAAAGTAGACATGTGCAGGAGATTCTGGGCCCCAGAGAGGACGCAGGTGGCCACGGGGAGATAGCAGGGTGATCCTTGCTGGGCAAGAAGGAATAAACCGCCTTTGTGAGGTTCAGGGGCTCACTGGGCCCACCTTCTGTTTCCCAGGTAAGCTAGCACACACCTGAATTCAGGGGCTTCCCATAGGATACATCCCGGTCTCTAATGCTAAAGCTCTCATTATGCTTCCAAGTGTGATAAAGCCTGGGGACAAGGTGGGGAGGAAGGAGTAGAGGCAAAGAGGTTCAGAAGTCATCAAAGGCAATGTCAGACAAATGTGTGGTGGGAATGTCATGTTATGAAGCCAGGACTTGGGACTAAATCTGTGCCATTCTGCTAGGAGATCGTCTTAATCTACGAGTTCAACACTGCACAGGTGCTGTGTGTGATTCCATCAAAATAGAAACAGCAGAGTAAGGCCAAATATACACACTGATATGCCTAGAACCTCTTTGTGCCAAGGGAGATAAAGAATTACAGCAAGTTAGAAAAGATTTGCACACACACACACACACACACACACACACAGGAACAATCTTTGATTTATTATTATTATTATTACTATTATTATTATTATTTCGAGGTAGGGTTTCTCTGTATTGCTTTGGAGCCTGTCCTGGAACTCACTCTGTAGACCAGGCTGGCCTCGAACTCACTGAGATCTGCCTGCATCTGCCTCCTGAGTGATGGGATTAAAGGCATCCGGCACTATAGTCCTGCCCAATCTTTGACCTGGCAAAAGTGTAAAGTAGTGCAGTTGATAATTACCCAAAACTTAATGTCAAGGCTCAGGTAATTTTCCTGAGAATAATGACATGGTTTAGGTAAGATGATTGATTGATGCCGCCACTTCCCCTCCCTAAGTTAGTTTCAGGTGGAAATGTGCAAAGGAAGAGCTTTTATGTAATTGATCATAATAACTAATAAAAATGAAAGAAGAGAAACGTCAGTTATTAACAAGACCAGGTTTTTTAAAAACAGTTTTCTAGTTTCATGTTTCTTTAGACATTTTCGAGTGAAGGAAGAGGTAAACAGAAGTTTAGATCCTCGAAGGATGGTAGACTTACTACTCGGTGCAATCCAGGGTCTCTGGCCTGGAACTGACTCCACAGACACCTCCAAAAATCCCCTTTTCAGAACTGTTATCGGTTTCTAGATGACAGTCATTTTAGAATCACATTTCAGGTTAGAAGTGATGAATTTTATAGCTGGAGAATGTGATAAACAGGGCTAGTTGATAGTTTGATTAGGTTTCCCCCCTCCCTAAAAACAAGCATGCAAAAGCTAAACTAACATAAACAAACAAACAATCCCTCCCTGTAGCTCAGTTCCAATCCACTTAGATCTTTCTCTTGCTCTCCCTCCCTAGCCACCTGCCATAGGCTTTGCAGAATTGTTTATGTCCCAAAGTCCAAGCCTATTGGCAATAGTTAGCTTGGGCCATGGAGATTTTCCTCTTTGCATTTCCCTTCCTCCTCCTACTGTGGCTCTCCGTTTCCTCTAAAGATACCAACCAAAGCTCCTAGCATAGGGTCCTTTACTGCAGCAAGATCTGGGAACCTCCTTGCAATCTCCGTAACATTTGCAGAGCAGCATTTTTCTTAGCCTTGAAGTGTTTGGGTCTCATCCATTCTAAACAGGAAATATTTCCTTACGGGAGTCCCATGTTTAACTTAGAATTTGAATTAGATTTCCAAAGTTCTGAGTCACCTTTGTAAGGATTAACAATGATGCAATTATTCCACTTTGGTAACATCTTATCTGTAACTTGTCTTATGGTTTTACAATGTTTGGTCATTTTTGGTGTGAATTTTGCATTTCTGATTGTCCTTTCTCTGTTTCAGTTATAGCAAGTTTAATCATCCTCCATTCTTCTGGAGCAACCAAGAAAGGAACAGGTGTGCTGTTTTGTATCTTTTTTTAAAGATTCTAATGGAGATGTCTAATTATTTTGCATTTTCTGACTTTACCATACCCATTCCAGAATAGCTGGATATACATAGATAATTGACTGTCTTTGACTAAAAGGCCATCTTGAAATTAATTTACTGATGGATATTATGAGAATGTCTACTCTATTTTTGGTGTTATAAAATATTGGATGATGGTTTCTTTTATTTATTTATTTATTTTGATGATGGTTCTTTTTAAAACTTTTGTTTTATAGAAAAACAAATCACCTCAGAAGCACAGAAGCCAGTGCAGTGTGGAACTTGGACAAAGCATGCAGAAGGAGGTGTCTTTACTTCTCCCAACTATCCTAGCAAGTACCCTCCTGACCGAGAGTGTGTCTACATCATAGAAGGTAAGAGCAGAGAGAATGCCAGGCCATGGAGACCAGCCAAGACCCGGCCTTCTCCAGGCTCTGCATGTGTGGTGTGAACAGAGGTATTACAAAACTGATTTTTGAGATACTAAGCACTAAGGAAACAACTGTTAAGTCTAGAATCAGGCTAATTTATGAAATTATTAGAAACAGGTATGAACACACAAATATAAGTAAACGAGACAAGTACACAACCTAAAAGCTCTTTTTTCCAGCAATCTAAAATAGTACAATTTTTCTTTACTTGACAATGTCAATTTATGACACTTTGAAAATTAATATTTTACTGGTATATTAACAATAACAATTGAATGTTCGTTAGTGTTTACTTCAATATTATCAAGCAATGGAGAATCACATGACTAGCAAAGGTGTATCTGCAGTCATATTTTGTAAACATTAATTTGAATGGTATTTAGCTTTTTGTGTACTTGCAAGTGAGGTGATCATATTTTCAGGTCAGCCAAGGTTCTAATAAGAAGCTCTCATCCATTTTGCCAACATGAAGGACAAAAAGTACTTTAAAAAAGATTCCCCCTTCTGAATATTTTCCATTTCTTTTAACCTTGAGCCAGCTCTCTGTTAAATATAGAGAAAGCTTTTAAAATATGTGAACATGTCTCCCCGTGATGAAGGTAACATTTTAAGTGTTAGTTTCAAATAGCCTAGAACTTGCTACCTCCACACCATGTACAACTACAGACTAAGTTATGGAAACCAAAAATTGTGACTGCATATTGTCTCCTCATAAATTAGGGTTGCAGTCACAATGTATTTTAAAAGAGAAAGAAAGAAGAAAAGAAAGAAAATAACAAAAAGAACCCTCTAGCTTCTATTTCTCTGTCAATGTGGCTTGAGGATTTTGAGCTGCTCAGAGGCTTTGAGGTTTACATAGGATTGAGGGAGCAGGAAGAAGAGGAAGAAGAAGAAGAAGAAGAAGAAGAAGAAGAAGAAGAAGAAGAAGAAGAAGAAGAAGAAGAAGAAGAAGAAGAAAAGGAAGAAGAGGAAGGGGAGAAGGAGAAGAACAGAGAAAGAGAGAGAGAGAGAGAGAGAGAGAGAGAGAGAGAACTATGGTGTTATCCCTCATGGTTTATGTGTACCTACATGGCAGGCCTCCTTTTACAGAACACCTTGTACTAAAGTGCGGAGGAGTGGTAAGCTGGCATACAGGCCTTCTGAACAGGTCAAGAGAGGAATAGGTTGGAGGGAGATGATCCTAAAAAGGATTCTAGGAGCTAAGCCTATAGACATTCTTAAGTTACTTGTAGGCAATGGAATACCACTGAAAGAATTCAGAAAGCTAATGAGGTGAGACTTCAGTAGGAAAGTAACTGGAGGGTCAACTAGAGAGCTACCAGAGGTGGCGAAATAAAACAGAGGAAACTTGAATGAAAGATATTGGCAGGGGTGACAGACAAAAAGGGGAGAAATGTGATGTCTTCAGGTTATTGAAAATCAAATGACTAGGTGGACAATGGTAAGACAGGGTTTATAAAACACCGATGTGGTCACTGTTGATATATTTATAGCACATAAATGTAGAAAATGTTAGTGAGGGCTTCATATGAATAAAAATATCAGAAGGAGTTATTCAGAGCACTAATACTTCAGCTTACTAAAAACACAGATGTCTGACCTTTCCCTAGAACGCTGATTTCTTTGGAAGTAGAGGCTCAGGCACCATCTGATTTTGAAATCATTTCACTGTATTTCAGCCACACCCAGTGCACTTCAGTCACATGAATAAAGAGAGGCTGGAGGATGTTTCTAGAACATAACATGTTGGGAATAGACAGGGCATGGAGACATGGAGGGCTTTCAGATAAGCAGGGCAATCAGTAGGGATGTCGGGGAGCTGGCCTGGTGTGGATGAGACTCAAGAATCAGTAGGATTCCAAGTGACAGTTGCTACAAGAAGAAATGAGACAAACAGGCATATGTGTTTATTGTATGAAGAAATTAAGAGTCTGCTTGTGACTTTAGGATGAGTGCAGTGATTAACACAATCAGAGACAGAAGCATCTCCCAGTCAGTAGAAGATTGAGTGAAGAGATCACTTGGGTGAGGGGGGGTTGGGAAGATACAGTAAACAGGAATACAGGAAGGTTTTTTTTTTGAGAAAAAAAAATGTTCATATTTATCTCTAGAAGGAGTCATTTGATCAGTATAAAATAGGTAAATTTAAAATTAGTAAGAAAAAGAACTTTTTTTTTGTTATTGTTGACACAATGTAGATTGCCTGGGTAGGTCTAGATGAGGTAAGTTTGTGGATATGCCTGTGAGAGACTTTCTCAGTTGGGTAAACAGAGATGAGAAGACTCATCCTGAGAGTGCAGGGCGCTGTTTCCTAGTCTGGCTCCTCTGTAAAAGAAAAGAGCCATTAGTTTATTGCTCTCTGCTCCTGTGGCTATAATGCCACTAGTTGCTTCAGGTCCTTGCTGCCTTGATGTTCCCACGAGGAGGGGATTGTGAGTTAAATACACGTTTTCTTGTTAGGGCTGCTTTTGCCTTACTATTTTATAATAGCAACATAAAACAAAACTAAGGGGGATAAATAAGTGGCCATTTGCTTAATTAAGACAAGCTATGGCTGAATAAACAAAATCAGGAAGCTCTCAATGGTGAAAAGCAATATTCTTTCATGGATTTCAGATGGCATCGCACTCCTTCTGATAAAGGAGGTACACTGCATGTATATCAAGCGGATGTGCATGGGTACCATATTCCAAGAGGCTGAGGGAGATGGAAATCTTAAGGAATTTTAGTGTCAGTTGAATGTCAGTGAGGATGAGTAGAGCGAGGGAGTCTGTGAATATAACACATTGAAGATGAAGAAAAAACAATGATCTTGTGGAATGAGACCCTGGCAGATTTAGTTGCTTATACTGTGACCACCCATTTGTGCCATTGGTGATAACAACTCTGGGTATTGTGTTCCATTCTCAATGTTATTTGGTAATTTCTAAAATTTAGCTTGCAGGACTTTCTTATGTGGACTTGTGGGTAGTTAATTTCAGCATGCTGGGTGAAAGGAAGATCGACTGTGTACACGTAACATGGTTCTCTAGAAGATGCATGAGGGCATGCTGCTAGAGAAGACTGGAGTAGAGCACTTGTCCATATTGGATAGAGTGTAGGTCATAGAAAAATGAGGATGAGAATAAGTGTATTCTTCCCACATGACTAAAAGAAATGCCTGGAACCCAGAGGGGTTGCATGCCTTTAATCACGGTATTCCAGAGGCAGAGGCAGTGAGTTCGAGGGCAGCCTGGTCTGCAAAGTGAGCAAGTTCTATAACAACCAGAAGCCCTGTCTCGAGAAACCAAGAAAAGTAATGCCTGATATGATGAAGTAGTTTGTTTTCTCTTCAAATCTCCCTGCAGCTTATCAAAGAACAGATGTACAAGGAGGCTTATAGTGTAGAGAGTACAGTGTGGAATGAACTCAAGTAATACACTTCTGGAGAGTGGTATGCTGGGTAGGAAACATAACTTCTGAGATAGTTTCAAATGGTGTTTTTCAGTTTGAAACTTTGAAACATTTAATGGAAATTCTCTCGACTCTGCCATAGCTCCTCTGGCTGTTGACCTTTGTACTCTATACTAATGTCAGATAAAAACATGGTCTGCATTACAAACTTCTCTTTAGAGTAGGTTATGTTATGAGCTGGGCATGTTTGTACAGATTAAAACTGTTTTGGAGAATAATCTTTAAACATAAGCTGATCTCCTTGGTATTGATGTTTAATTTTAGAACTGGTGAACAATAAGTTTATATTTCATTACAAGAGTCTCCTGTCTCTACCACACATCTCAATTTTATATAAATCGATGGAATCCACACCTGCACAAGTTCAATTTTTAGGTCATCGATTGTGGTGATCAATATGCCTTTAAGAAACAGTGGAGAAGGATAGGGGACAATCTGAATGGTTGGTTGCTGATCATGTAGGCAGCAAGTTTTGCTGTGCCCAAGGTTTGGAAGGGTTAGTTCATGCAGGAGACTAAGTAGAAAGGAAGCTCTTTTAAGAGGCTTCAAGAAGTTGTTCCTAGCCTGGATAAACATCTATTGATATTTCAAGTATTGTTATATCCATTATGGAATATCCTAGCTGGGTATAACAGTAGGAATTGGCACTACTGCTGTTTTAGTCATGAAAGGGAACAGTGTGAGGGAGTATTAAAATATATACCATTGTGATGACTGATATGGTTGCTAGGCTCATCAGGCTATTTTATTTTTCATGGAGCTATAGAAATATTATGAAGGTTAACTAATTTTTATTTACTCAACATAATATTGAAAAAATACACAATGACACATATTGTGCTTAGGTACCAGGAAAAGACAGTAAAACAGGTTCCTTTCTTTAACGAAGATACCAAGAGGAGAATTTCCTCTAAACAAGAGGAAATTGTGTAGGAGAGCAGGGAAATGTGGCTTAGTTGTGTAACATTACCTTATCATTCTTCACGCCCTGAGTTCAACTACCTGCACAGAGAAACAAAATCAAACAATAGTAAACAAGCAAATGAAACCCTCTCTCAGTAAAGACCGGTTAAACAAATATGCCCCAGCTGCATAGGGGATGGTGTGTTAGAAAACAAGACATGCTCTAAGTACCTTGAGGTTTGTAAATCTGAGGTGATGAGGTCATAGAAGAGACCTTTCTCAAGGCCCTTATCTGTCAAGGGCATTGGTCTGTAGTTTGGCTGATGAAAGTATTACTGAAATTCAAGTGGAGAATGATGAGATCACATTTGATTTCTGGGATCATTACCCTTAATACCTTGTAAATGCACTGGGATCTAATCAAGACACCTGGTGGCAGCTACTTGAATGGTTGCATAATTGCCTGGGGGATAATTCCCAAGTGCTTTCTGGCATTAAACCTGAACATTGGAGGTTATAAGACAAGATAGAACTACACCCCTTCACCTTCTAACATGAGTTAACAGCATTGCTAACCTGGTGTTGGTTCCATGTTAGCCGTTCCATGTTATGATAGTGTTTTGTGCAATGCCATCAGTTTTAAAGGCCAACTTAAAAAATGATGCTTAAGCATCTACTTTCTTTGTACTTCCCAAGTAACTTTTCTACAGGGTTTTATTGAACAGTATACACATAGAACATCCCATGGAATCAGTTAATCAGCCTCAGGATTTAAGAAACTGCTTTCTACATATAATCTTTCTTTTCTTGTTCACAGCTGCCCCAAGGCAGTGCATTGAACTCTACTTTGATGAAAAATATTCAATTGAACCATCTTGGGAGTGCAAATTTGATCACATTGAAGTTCGAGATGGACCTTTTGGCTTTTCTCCAATAATTGGAAGATTCTGTGGACAGCAGAATCCACCTGTAATAAAATCTAGTGGAAGATTTCTGTGGATTAAATTTTTTGCTGATGGCGAGCTGGAGTCTATGGGATTTTCAGCTCGTTATAATTTCACACCTGGTAAGTAGAAGTTCGTTTTCAATTTTTTTTCTTAACTCCCTCCTTTTACTTTTCTATTTTCATAGTACAAATCTTTTGTAAGATGCTAAAAATTTTCTGTTAAATTTTACGTTATGCTTAAAAATACAACCTATAACCAACTCTCTTTGTGCTTCCCAAATTCTGAAAAAAAATTTTTAGCTACCATTGTGAAGTCACAAAAAGAAATGGATGAGAGCTCTATGTGAGAATCAGGAACATAATTATTTGAATTGACTTCCATCGTATTGGCGTGTGTAAGTTGAGAGACAACTTGTAATATGTAGACTGATTATAGGTAGGATATCACTAAACATGAAAAAGACAACTGTAATACTATAGAGGCTGTCCTCTAAAGTAATTTTAAGGAACTTGAAAATAAGAATACATTCGTTTTGAAAATTATTATTTATAAGAGAAAGGTATCCTTCTATACAGAATCCTAATTTCTTCTTAAAAGTGGAAATGTTTCATAGCTTTGAGGGAATGAAATGGGATCCAGTAGCTCATTCTAAGGTCTAACTGGAAATAGGAGTAATCATAAAAATTACTCAGCTTATTTCAATTTTCAACAAATATTCAAAGTGTTGGGTGATTCTGGCTGGCTCAATTTATGAAAAGTCATCTTTCACTACTACCAGAACATATTATCATATTCTTATATCTTCAAATCATTCTATACTCATCAATTGGTATCCTATTAACTGAAGTCATTTTTTTCCCTCCCAGTTGAAGAAAATCATTCAAATTTTAAGCAACTCATAACTTACGTGCAGTGACAGGCTTCTCACTGTGTGTGTGGTGTTTTGCTTTAGTTATAATAGGCAACAGGAAACACAGAATATAGGGAAACTCTTTGCAGCTAATATTTCATGGAATAGAAGTAGATGACTGAGGAATGGTTAAGTGATAGTTTTCAATTTTATTCGGTAGTTTGACTTACGTACTGCACTGGGGAAACTGAGTAAATAAGAGTTCCTGTGTTTGGTTTTATGATTCTAAGTATAAAGTTGTGTATAAATCATCTTGTCTCCAAAGTAGGAGCTGAGCAGAGCAGAAGGGCCAGCTCAGCAGCTCTAGAATTGGAAGCTGGGGAGATGTCAACTTTAGAGCCAGACAAGTTCTTCAATTACAGCTTTATGTTTTCTTTTTCATGCCATTAACCTTAGATATAACCTATGATATTTTTATTTACCTTTTAAAACATTATTTTATAAAAAAAGTAAAGACGATATTGTTCAGAATGATTTGAGTATAACTCAACCAAAATGTAGTTGTGAATTTGAAATGTTTTTTGAATGTTTGAAAGACCTCAATTGTCCCATAGCTAGTCAAAATGGATCAGCCTTTGGGTTGGAGAGGTGGCTTAGTGGTTAAGAACAGTGGCTGCTCTTCCAGAAAATCTGGATTCAATTCCTAGCACCCACATGGCATTTAAAAACTGTCTGTAGCTCCAGTTCGAGGGTATCTCACACCCTATTACAGACATATGTGCAGGCAAAACACAATTGCACACGAAATGAAAGTAAATAAATCACTAAAATGAATCAGATCATATGTTCCTTAAGAATAGGTATATTCTGATGTTATTGCGAAAGCAAGCGTACTAAACAATTTCAAAAGTAACTGCTTCTTGTGGTTTTTGTGTGTACTCTAATAGTATGAAGAAATAGTCCCTATGTCATTAGGGACTATATAACATTAGGGACTATTTAACATTACTTATTTAGGCCCAAGCCTCAATAGTAGGAGTTATAGTTATTTATGACGATAGTCATAAAATATATCCAGGAAGAAATAACTGGGAGGAGGTCTTGTCTTCTGTACTATGATCTAAAAATCTGAATTTTATCTCTGAAGTCTGAAAAACTTGATTTCCATACACTGAACTGAGTGGATATTTATTTCCTAGGTTGCATCACATTTGGCAAGCTAACAAGATTGACACACATATTTGTGTGTACATTTCTATGCACGTGTCTGTCTATACAATCAGTCATATGTGTCTATACATAGACATAGTAGACATAGCACATCAATATTCAGATGTGTACATTTTTAGTTAGGCTTTTACGATCACAGAGTGCAATGTAGCCATTCCTGCATATCCAGATTTCCATCAGGATTGCATACATGGGCAATTTTTGAAACTGAGTTCCACAATTGACACATTTAATAGCACTGAGCTAGGGTACTCGGTCTTTTATTACTAAAACATGGATCAAGTTTTCCAGTGCTTAAGAACTCAAACTCCCATTGGCTCATTCTCCTATCATCTCCTTTCTTTATGGTTTCCTGCTTCCATTTTTTTCCTTGCTGGCTTGCTACTTTGTATCTTCACTCAGCTCCAAAATTGTTTCTGTTTCCTAAGATCTGACTGAGTGTCTGACTTTTCTAATCACTCCAAAAATAAAATAAATAGCCCTTTCATCTGTAGCTCCTGCTGGCCCTACTGTCTAGGCTTTTGAATTTGCAGTGATGTCTGAAAATCAGCCAACTAGAACTCGTGCATGGTCAGGGAGGATAGGAAGACCGCCAACAAAAATATCAGGGAAATGGTGTTCAGGAAGGTGTTCTGTTTTCCTACCCATTTTAATGGTTCTTTACTTTTTAGTTCACTGATGGTTATTTTTAGTTCCTGTGTCGTCACTTAGGTCTTGAGTACAGGGATGAATCACCTGGGGCAGTAGTCTAGAATTACTTTCAGGATGAGGAAATAATCAACTAGTTCAAATTCCAGCATCTACAAAGAACAGCATGATTCTTAAAGAGGACCAATGGGTCCATGCTTCTGAGTACTTCAGAGAGGATTACCACAAGGAGATTTCCCCCTGCATCCTGTGGGTTAGTGGAGAGCAGACACATAGTGTCTGGGTTCCAAAAACAGCTAAGTGGTCCTGGCTGGGTGTGGTGGCACTTACAAATAATCCCAGCACTAAGGAAGCAGAAACAGTAGATGTGAGTTCAAGGCAAGCCTGACCTATATAACAAGCTCTGTGCCCTTCAGGACTACACAGAGAAACCCTGTCTCAACAAAATAAAATTGAACACCAGGGCTAAGTACTAAGAAATGAAAAACTTTAAGAACTACATGTTGTAAAATATGACACAGCCAATTCAACAACAACAACAACAAAAAATCACATTAAACATAAACATGCGTACTCTTAGAGAACTTTCTTATTTTCTAATTTAAATAGTTGTGCCATTAACACTACTCAAACTGAGCAGTACAGAAACTCAAACACCTAGTAAGCCTTGACTAAAGCTGCAACAATATACATCAAATTCATAAGAATGGATGCCCCAGGAGAAAGAGTGTTCTTAGACTCAAATAGAACCAGAATAAAAATTGACTGAGGTTTATTAGTACACTTAAAGATCCTTATAAAATGGGTTTTATATTTTTGGTATTATTTGTGTAAACAAACCATTTAAAATAAAAACATAAAAATAAACTATGGTGGTTAAATAGTTTTAATAAAGAACATTGTTTCTCCCTTCTATATTTTGTAACTTCAACCTAAGAAAGCGTTTTGAGCAGAAAGTAACAGTTTCCAAGCTGCCTTCTTGTGGGGGGGGGGTTCTTTGCCACAAGAAAATTTAACCTGAACAGTGAAACCATAATTATATCTTTGGAACTACAAGATCAGTGGTACCACCCAGGGAGTCTTTAATCCATCAGAATGTAGGAAAACATCCAGAGAAGGCAATATTTTCTCCCTTCAGTTACACATATATTTTGCTCATCTTTTACTTTACTTTCTAGTAAATAAAGGTGGGATTTTTTTCCCCTGCTTTTTTTTCAGACTAACAAAGTAAACATACAGAATCTTCCACTTTCGATGATTTTTTTTCTATACTATTCCTATGAGAAATTACACACATCCTACTAAAGCATTTTAGCTGAAGGAAGGATTGCACCTCACTGTTACAGAGTTAGGTGAGTTAGGCATTCCCATGGAAGTGAATGGAGTTTTAAATGCTTTGGGATGGTGATGATACTTTTTACTTAGCTAGTACCTTTCATCCGAAGAACTCAAAGTCTCAGGGACAGTCTGCTGATTCCTAGCCTTTCTCAAATTGCTCGCTGAGTAACTTCAAAGGCATTTGAAAGAGTACATTGTGGAGCAGAGGTTTAAACCAAGCATTTCATAAATATCTCTGTGCAGAGTAGATGAAATGTGCTATTAAATAGAAATAGTCTTGTATTTAATGTTATCTTAGTTATTAGGTACAACTTTATCCTCCTGGAGTGAATGAATATTCACTTAACTACTTTCAAAGTTTCTAAATTTCCTTTAACAATTTAGACTTATTAGTTTTTGAGCAGTTTGTAAACGAGTGTAGTATTTACATCATCCTCATACCCCTACTCTTTCAAATTCATTACTTCTTTAATTATCATATATATGTATATATGTGTTTGTGTGTGTGTACACATAGGCATATATCTACACATATATGTAGATGCACATGCAACCTGCTGAGTATATTTAATATTGCTTTTATGTAGAGCTTCTTGGGCTTATTCCTGGAGAAGACTGATTCTTCTCCCAGTTGACAGAGGTCATCATTTAGGTAGGGATGGATAATTACAGTTCTGGTATCCATTCTGATGTAAAACAAAATTCTCTAAAGAAAAGATTAGTTTAAATTTTACCTAAAAGAAAGAATCTTTGCAAGTCTAAGATTTAAAATTAAAAAAAGAAAAAAAAACTTTTTGGCATAGAAAGTGAAGATAACATAATGTTAGGTTAGGTAGCAACATCTTTTAAACTATTGTGCTTACAGTTTTGACCTGATCTAGTCTCATTGAACCTTAGGAATAACTGTGAAACACAAACTTTGAGGAGTAGCATCGCATTTCCTTTTTGAGGAGTATTTTCTCAAGGAACTAAAGGCAAAACTTGAAATTTTGAATGTGGAGCAGGTATCACTGATGGTCATGTGAGACTTGTTTCTTCAGTCCCTGCTTCTTA